CTCGGAACAGTATTCCGTCGTCGAGCATTGCGGCAGTAAGTTCAGGTCGCCCGGGCGACCTGCCAAGGCCAAAATGAAAGGCGACTGCGGGTTCTCGCGGCAGGTCCTTCTCGAAATCAGGTCTTCGGGCGCAAATCGCTCGACGCCAGGAAGATGAAACTCCCCGTTGGCCTTGCGGGTGTCCTCCACCCAATAGCGCTCACATGGGCACCCAGACTCTGTGACCCGCTCTGCCGCAGGCTGGTCTTGCCCACGCAAAAAGCGCGGCTTGTCCTCCTTGGCTGCAGCCCACTTTTACGCAAATGCGAGGAATTCAGAAAGCACTAGGCTGTTATGGACAACATCTAACATGTTCTGTGGCATGAGTGAGAAAAGGCGGTTTGTGTTCCACAAAAACCGATGCCAAGGATCGAGGTAAACGATTTGGCTGTCTTCATTGTCTATCAAGTACATGTTTTCGGCTGGGTCGATGCAAAGCCCCATGATGCTTCCGAACTTGGCGGACTGCGCCGTCACCACGTCACAGCCCTGCAGAGACTGAATGTTTCGGGCTGGGCACCAGGTTTGGTGTGCAACAGGGGCGGCATACTTCCAGTAGCTGTAGCCTTGCTCGTAGATCTGGGAGCTCTCCACGTCGAAGGTGGCGTTCACAGCTGGAAACTCCAGCGCCAGCCACGTCTTCAAGGCCTCAGCCTGGCCTGGCCGCGCCGCCTGCCGCTCCTCCGCGGTGCTGTTGTCCTCGAAGGTGGACATCTCAAATCTCTCCAGGAAGTTCCCGAAGTCCCCCTTGAGCAGGGTGAGGGAGATGTTGATCAGCGGCAACATGAAGATGCGGTTGTTATCGCTGTCCACCGCCCAGAGCCGGTCGTGGCGGTCGATGGCGATGGCATACAGCTCGCTCAGCTGCAGGGCGCTGTTAGGCACCTTGAAGTTGCCTGGCAAAGCGCTTCGTGCGATGCCGCGGAACGCCTGCCACATTCCTTGGATTGCCAAGGCTTTGACTGACGCCAAGACTCATGTTCGCAGTCTGTGAAGAGAGTTGTCGGCATGCCTCCCTAAGAAATCCTTGCCATGTTTTCTTGGCGTGCTTGCATGGGTCAAGTCAGGCGACTGCCCATTTCTCATGCTTTGGCACAAAGACTAAATCCACACATCGGCTGCACATGTGGTAACAGCAGCTAGAAGTCTAGAATTAGATCCAGCCACGGAAAATGGCTAACCTATGACGAGAGTCCTTGCTGCTGTGATCTGCTGCCAGCAAAGGTATAGAGCGTCGCTGTCGGGTTCTGGCTGGGATCTCCCAAGCTTGTTGTCAGCTTCAGGATCTTCCGGGACCCAGCCTCGACAATATACAGGTCCTGCCAGGCGTGACGTCAACTTCGCCTCCAGATATGGCTGTGGGTCAACAATAGGTACCCCAAATGAAACCCTGGCCAGTGGAAACATGGACCAGAACCCGTGGTCCCCTGGTGGTTTAATTTTGACCCATACCCATATAGACACAGAAAACATCTCCAAAGTAGATACACCTCCAAAGTAGATGACTGTTCAGTCTTACTTTTGAAGCTCTTAGAGCCGCCAAACAGCGCTGCAGCTCTACACCAAGACATCTCTTCAGCCCGGTCCTGGTTGGAGGCAAAGGCAAGGGCCCTAGGATTCCACAAGCTTGCCTCCAGAGCCACGCAGCCTGAGTCGCAGCTGTCCTCAGCCATGACCCCAGTGCCTGCCACGGTGTAGATGAACCATTCCGCGCCACGCACCAATTTCCGGATGCGCTGGTTGAGGAAATCCGCGAAGTACACCTGCTTTCTTGAATGCAAGCTGTACGCCATTTAAAGAGCGGTGCGGCAAGTGCTTGATGGCAACTGGTTTTCCATGTCCCCTTCGGGTGGACTGGTGGACTGCATCCAGTGATGCAACCTATGCAGGGACCCCAATGGCACTAGGCAAAAGTGAAAAATCATGTCCAAAGAAACGGCACAAGTGGCAAGCAGGGATGCCTAAAGCACCTGCCCTCAACACTTTGGACCCCAAACGTGAAACAGCATGAACCTACGGATTGTCCGCGCGTCTTCTGCAAGTATTTCTCCGAAGGGCTTGGCTGCAATCTTTTTGGAGCTAGCCAAAGCCTAACCCACGGCAAAAGCACACACTTACTTGGGCTTACGGCATGGACAAAAAAACTGCACTCCTTGTAGCCCTTCAATGTGGATAGCCCCAACCCACCAGCGTGACCTCTTGTTCAATCGGGAAGTGGCCGAGTTTGTCCCACTCTGACAGACTTTGAGATGGAACCCAAAGCGCCCATGTTTCTTTTGGCCGGTGCTTCTGGGTCCCACATCCGCCTGAAAGCCCCCTCAGTTGCCCAAAGAACCCTGAAATGAGAGGTGAACCATGGTCAACCTTTTGGCACCTGACTTGAGCCAACACCGGAGCACCAACAGCCTTCGCTTTCCTTGAGCTTCGAACCCAAAGGGTTGCCTGTTACGCGGCCGTCGATGCATCCGGATCGATGCCTCGTTGGTCTTCGGCTTCAGGGCCAAGCCCTCGGGCTGCCGCAGCTGCGCCAGGCGTGCTGGGCCCCCGTCCCCGGAGAAGCCCACCTAACGAGAAACCAAAATTCGAGCAATGCCCATCTCCTGTATCGGAAAAATGACACTTGGTTAGTTGGTGCAAATGCCATATATGATTTTTATTATTATAAAGAATGATGTACTAGCACCTGCACACCGAAAGTTTCTGTGGCGCTCTTTGGATCTAGTCACTTCCTATTAATCAACCTACCCCTAATAATAAAACCCCCCTCAGCCGCGCCAAACACCGCAAATACTAGTTTTAAGTTAGCCAATACTAAACCAATACTAAACTCCTGAGCCCACACATGTTTTCCACCAAGCTCTCAACATGTGCTTATCAGGCCCCCCCCCATAATGTGTTGAAACAAGAAGGTTCCAAGCTATGTGTCCAACAGAAACAAGCCCCTTCCCTTTGCAATTCTAAGTTGCTACTCAAAAGTTGCATCTCAAGCATGTTTTCTGTTAAACCAACGGGTTGCCTTGTGAGATAGGGTTTTATTTATTCGGTTCGTTTTCCCCTAATTAAAAATAAATATATAAAACACAAAAACACACAAAAAAACAACAACATAGTATTATTAAACAACGAACGGCTTGTGGGTCAAGGAGTCCTCGAATCTAAAGGGTTCCTCCCCAAACACGTTTTATTCTTCACAGCCCGCGCGCCACCCCCACACACTCCAAGAATTTCACAACGGGAATGTCCCTGCCAGAGCTCCTACTTAAAAGTTGCAATCTGAGCGTTTTATCCTGCAAATCAAAGGGGATCCCCTTTCCAATACAAGTCCTATACTAAGCAGCAGAAAAGAAACTATATCTAAGGCAAAAACCGGCGACCCCTAACAATAAAACTCCCTCCGAGGTTTTTTAGTAGGAGAGGGGACGTTTTTCTTCCTGTTGTTTTCTCTTGGTCTTTCTTTCTTTTGTTTATCTTTTTTTTCCCATGGGGAAAGGATTGCACTGTTCAACACTTGAGGCCACACATGAGTGTAAGGCCAGTTGCGGCCGAAGAGGCATGTGAAATCGGTTTGCGTTTTCGAGTCGTTGGCCAGTGTTTTACCCACGGCCGTGTGCAAACCACAGCTTTTCAAAGCAGGCATCCCGAAGTACAAGCAGGGCTTAGACAAACTGAGTTCAAAGCTCATGACGTACCTGCCTCCTGTGCTTGTTTGTGAGTTGTTGACTGCTGCAGTTGCTCTGCCTGAGCCCTACTTTGCAGTCCTGCATGAAAACAAGACCATGCAGATTGTGGCTCTTTCGCAACCTTCGCGCCGCGTTTGTGGCCTAGGAAATATCGACATTTTGAATACTTTCGAATGCAGGGACCTCTCATCGCTCAAATGCGATGGCATGCTAACACGAACAAACATAGACAAGCCCGAGACCCGAGGTGCAGCATCCTTTGACCCGATGCCACAGTGGAGCAAAGCAGAACCAAGATGGCCATTGGCCATTTCATGTTGGCCCTCGGGCTATTCACGGGCCCCTCTAAAAGTGGTCGGATTCCCCACTAAAGGCAGGGAAAGCACCCCTCGTAATAAAATGGGGTTAAACAATATGGGGTCAACATTATCGCATTGAGCTAAGGATTGTATTGCACTTGGATTGACCCACCCCACCTCTCCAGTGCCGGCGATGGTGACCAACGCGTCCAACTTGGCATCGAGCATGCCTCATTGGACTGGCTGAGTGGGCAGGTGCAAAGCAACGCTGCAACCACCAATAATTTGGACATTAGGCCTGTTTCACGAAAGAAGGCTGACTTTTCGCCAAAACCCAAAGTAGTGTGGCGGGAAGGCGCCAAGTTTGTGGCAAGCAGCGAATCCGGTTGTTGCCCTGGTCAGAGAAGTATACGTTGTTCTCTTCATCAACTGCAATGCTCACGGCGAAGGAAAAGGATGACTGGGCGGCTGGCGTGCAAGCCTGAGTACTGCTTCGGCAGTCACCCCAGAATATCTCCACGCCATCCCCTGCCAAAGTGTGCACATGGGCACATTTCTCCTGGAATGGGCATTCCAAGCAGGTGGTCACCGAGCTGGTCATGCAGCGATTCTGCCGACTGCTCCATCCATACACGCCCAAATCATTTTGGCAAAGACATTTCTCCGGGGTTTGCGGCGGCGACAAAGGGTAGTTCGCCTCGCCAAGGCCCAGCAATGCCAGGGCCACACGAATTGAGTGGCCCCTCATGCTGCAACTTGTGCCATGGCTGAGGCTTGAGCTTAGCAGCTGAACTTGAAGGAAGCTAAGAAGCTAAGCATCTGAGTGGGTCATCTGAGTGGGTTACTAGAACCCACTTGAGTGTGTGTGTGTGTGTCAAAACTAGGATTCCGTTGGGACTGCTTATTGACCACGACCAAAGTTCACAATTTCCTTCGCTCAACACCCAAATTGTCTGGTGCACCGCAAGGCTCTGCTCCAGGCCTTTTCCCGGCAGCTCTAAACTTGTCAAGGCCTTTGGTTGCAGGTGCCGCGTTCCCTTGGCCTCAAGGCAAATTCAGCGAACATTTGCCTGACCCACAGGTTGTTGCGCACAAATGGCCATGGGTCAAAATCCTGGTTCCCCCCCAGTGAACATCCCAATCCCCACTAAAATGGGTTCTAAAATGGGTGTTGCACCTACCCCAAAAAGGGATCCCATGGGTTTTGACCCACAGCCAAGTTAACGTTCAGTGAAGCTCCGCAGGATCTCTCGGAGGCTCGCTTTCAAGTGCCATGCACTTAAGAGGCCGACGCACCACGCGCTTCCTGAGCTAACCCAGGCTGGCCGCCAAGTTGAAGTGGCAAAGCTCCAGACTGCCCAAGTCGACAAACTCCCTGGTCTCCAACAACGCGCTCCCTTCAAATTGGCTTACCTTAAATTGAAGTAGAGCGAGCGACCCTGAAACTGAGTGGTATTCCATGGGGTTTCCTTGTCGTTTCCTTGTGGTAACCTCAGAAAAAAGAAGAAGAAACAAAAACACCCCCAAGAGTCAGTGCCTCAAAGCGGCTGGTCTCGCTTCTGCCTCGCCTCCGACTTCACCTTCTCCTAAGTCGCTTTCACGTGCCAGCCATCATTTTTTAAAACACAACGAAAACTAAAAACTGCTAACACGGTATGAGAACCGATCAAAAGGCTTCATCTATTTGGCGGAGGAATTGCCCCACAGGTTGGTATCTGTTGCTTTGTTAAGGCGTGCAGCGGCAAACCGACTGGCAGCAATGTTTTGACAGAGGCGGTTCTGATAAACACCTGTTTTCATATTTTGGGTCCAAACGGGCTTAAACCCCGGACAACCCCCCGGACAAACCCCCGGACAACCCTCCGGACAGCTTTGAGGGCACAAAATCGGCGGGACAACTCCCCGGACAAACCCCCGACAACCCTCCGGACAGCTTTGAGGGCCCAAAAGCCCGGGACACACCCTCGGACAAACCCCCGGACAACCCTCCGGACAGCTTCGAAGGCCCAAAAGCCCGGGACAAACCCCCGGACAAACCCCCGGACAAACCCCCAGACAGCTTTGAGGGCCCAAAAACCCGGGACAAGCCCCCGGACAAGTCTTCGGACACCCGGACAAGTCTTCGGACAGGTTTGGAACACGCCAAAACCACTCGGAAACCACTCGGAAACCACTCGGAAACCACTCGGAAACCACTCGGAAACCACTCGGAAACCACTCGGAAGCCACTCGGAACCCACTCGGAACCCGCTCAAAACCACTCGGAAACCACTCGGAGGGAATTATTCTTGCGAGAGGGGGGTTTGCAGCATAAATCTCGGCAAAGTGCGCGGACAACCCTCCGGACAACCTTCCGGACAACCCCCCGGACAACTTGCTGGACAGTTGTTTGTCCAGCAGTTTGTCCCGCACTTTGTCCCGCACTTTGTCCCGCACTCTGTCCCGCATATCGAGCGGGTGTTTATGCAGAAGGGCATTCGTCAAGCAATGTTCAATGTTTGTTAAAGACTGCCCAGCTTGTTTCTGCACGCTGAGCCGCAGAGGCTTTCATTGCTTCTAGCTCTGCCTCGCAGCTGAGAGAGGTGAGAGGCTCAGTGCGAAACACTTGCAAGGCTCCTGCCTGCATCTCGGCGATCTTTGCTTCAAGCGACTTCATCTTCGCCTGCGACCCTCATTCAGTTGAAAACATGTTTGCGATGGCAAAGGGGATGCTCCTTGAATTTGTTGAAACCCAAGTTTGGCAGCACCTTGCTCATAGAAACCCAGAACAACGTGCACTTCATAAACATGACTGCCTTTCACAAATGCCAGCGGGGAATGTGTCAACGTATGTAAAGTAAGGGCCCTGCAGTGGTTTGCTTGGCGATAGTCATGCTTGGCTCAACAAGAGGTCCTTCGAAGGCACGAAAATAGACCGAGCTGCACTTGGGTCATTGCTTAGGAGCCCCGGTCTTAGAGTGCCGACAGTGGCCGTCGAGCAGAGATTGCAAGAGGAGAATTGGATTTGATCTTGCTGGTTCTCAGCGAATGAGGGAATGATCCCTATCAACCATCCATCGTTGCGGAAGAAAGAGAAAACAAAAAACAAGAAACATGCTACATGTACCCGGTCTTGCGGTTCTGAACCTTGGTGCAACCGGCGCTCCCTTCGCTTCTCAGCTGCCGCCCCTTCGCCTCCTTCTCCTCCTTCTGCTCTTGCTCGTTTTGTGGGTCCAGCAGTCTTTGAAGCTCTTCTCTCTGCAGTTCCTGAGCCAATGCGCAACCAAACCAAACGGATCCAGAGCAACTCCAGAAGAAGTGGCCCCAATTTGTGGAGCTAGGGCCTTAGGGTGGATTCATTGTATGATTGCCGGGGGAACTATTGCTTCACTTGACATACGCTTGAATCATGAGCACCTGAGGACGGGTACTCCGGTAAATATTCCTGACTTCCAGGAATCAAGTCAAGCAAGGCCCGCTCAAAACCTGCAAGGCGGGGACAAAGGGAACATGGTTCTGGCTGGACGCACCGCGCCCACGGTTTTCGAGGCCTTCAGGGTAGGGAGAAGCCCTTCGACTTTCATGTTCTAAATTGCACCTACAACGGCTCATCAGCTTGGCTACTGTGATGTGGGTTCTGAAATCTGTGTGGTCCTTTTTGCAGCCAAGGAACCCTTTGACTCTTCCCGTCCCTGGACACTTTCTCGGAGGCTTTGAGCGGCTCCTCCTCTTGCCCGATCACCTCCTGTCAGGCAAAGGACACCTTCAAAGAGGCAAGGCGATGATGAAGTTTACCCATCCATCCACATGGGTTTGCCTCGAACTGGCCCCGAAAATGGTTGGCATCCCTTTCCTTTCGCTTCTTTCAAACCAAAAAGGTGGTTCCCCACAAAAAAACATCTTGCGAGTCTCCGCCCGGCCTCCAGCCTCTCCTTTTGCAGCTCCCTGGCAGGTTTGTGCTTGCACTCGAACAAACCCCACTATCCCGAAGGCAATGCGCTTCTTCTCTCATTCTCTACCCAGGTCTTTATGTGTGTTTTCTTTATGTATTGTTTGATTCATCTCATTTCATGTCCTTCCTTCCTTTCTATTTCTGTCTTTCTTCTTTCCTTTTATCTGTCTTCCCTATATCTCGCATTCAGATTTACATGCTCCCGCTTGGTGATGCTTACTGCTGGCACTTGTGGTTTGGCGCCAGTCCTGGCGGGAACGTTGCTACTGGCAGCCACGCATCCCCATCATCAGTCGACTTGCGCCCACAACATCCAGAGACAATACACGGGGAGGCGTCAAAAGTAGTTGTGGCACGGACGCCTAGGATCGCATTTTCGCGAAAACTCCCTGCGTGCAGCCTTGGCCGCGACCGGGACCCACTGGCTCAAGCTTTGCCAAACGTCATAATCCAAACCAATCGGTATCAAAATGGACCCAGAACCATATAAGGAATTGAAAACACGGCCGCACCCCTTATGGTTGGGATGGTCCCTTACACCCTGCAAAAACACTCAGGTGATTCAGGTTGGAGGTAGGGCTCGGAGCCCTTGCCCAACCTCTGCGTAGGCATTGGCATGACGTCAGCTTCCACTGCCGCCTGACCAGCCGCATCCAAAGCAAGCACCCTCAGGCGAACTTGTTCGTAATTTTGAAAGGTGCCAGACTTGGCCTCCCCCCCCCTCCCGTTGAATTTTGACTTTGAAAAGAAATCTACATGGGACCAACTGATTGGAAGGACAACACCTTTGCACATTCCAGTTGGTGGCGTGTTTGATCGCCGTGGCTTCATCTACCATCAGCTGTCCCTTTGCGTTGTGTAATAAGAATAAAAAAAAAAACAAAAACGTGAGGCTGGCATAGGCTGGCACCCACTAAAGCACAAGGCCAGGCCTTTACCTCTGTCCGAGTGGCTTCACCTCAAGCCGGCGACCAACGCAAGGCTGGCAAATACACCTCGTTAAGGCTTTACCCGGCAAATGGCCATGGTTCAAAACGAATGATACCATTTTTGGATAGGTGCACCACCGATTGGGATGTTCACTAGGGGTACGGGGTTTTGACCCATGGCCAAATCGCCAGGGCATACCCTAGCACAACAGAATAATGAGTGAACGGACATGCCGCCAAGCGATAGGGTCATCTCTCAGCAATCGGCTCAGAGTCACGTAGGCCCATAACTCCAACCTCATGCGAATGCCACGCAGATCAAATCATATCCTTGGCAGCCTTGCAAGAACCTTCAGGCAACGTACTGAGGGAAACTGCGGCGACGGCACCTACTTCCAAGCAACTACCATGAAGCAAGCATGCACATGGTCTAAGCAGGGGATTCCTCTAAGGTTTTGCATGCTTAGACGAAGCGGGATGGTATTTCAAGCCTACCAGCTTCTGCACCACTGAGATTCAAGCCGAGCTCCGCCCAAACTGTCAGTGTCTAAGTTGCCAAGCCTACGTGGCCTCTCATGTTCAAGAGGGAGTGGTGCGGCCATGCTCGTCGCGAGTGTTCACTCAATTTGAGGGAAAAATGAAAAGCAAAAAAACATGGGGCCAAACCGCAAGACAATGTAAACGCCCGGGCCCCAGGCTTTTTAATCAATTGTAGAACAATTGCGATAGAGTGGGCGATCGAAAATGGGATCGGCGATAGAAAATGGGATCCAGTTTGGTTCTTTGGGGCGCGTGGCACGCTTGGAGAAACGGTAGAGGCGCTGGTCTTGTCTTGGAAAATTGGACGCCAGACACTTGGCATCTGTGCGGCTTCCGCCGGCCAGGCCTCACTGCATCTTTTGTTAATCACGCATCTCTTGTTTGCATACCCTATCTAACATCTCTGCTTCTCCCATCAAGCCTTTCTCCCATAACCCAACGGATGCCACTACTTTATCAGCAGTGCCCACCAAAGCGATTGAGGGTTGGGAAGTCTGCTCGTTCCCACTTTGGCTAAACCACACCAAGCCCGCCGACTTTTGAGGACCGCTCCTGCCACTGCCGCAAAGCTTTTCCTGGCAAAGGAAGCTGCGCCAATGAAAACCATGCCAAGTCTTTGAAGTCTTTGGCTCGTGGCGAGATACTGCGATACTGCAGCAGAAATGGTTAGAAAGTACCCATGCAGTAACTAGAATGATCTGGCTTAACAGGTAAAGCAGCATGACGTTGAACAACCTCTTCCAAAAGAACAGCTTGCGTTTCGACGTTGCCAAAGGTCATCATATGGTCATCATTACCTTTTGAACTTTCTCTTCTGAAACTCATGCGGGGCTACCATGACATGTCCAGGCAACTGGCACAGTGTGCGGCTTGACCAAAAAGCAAACGCGATGCACCTCCAAATTTACGTCAACAACGTTTGGCAACTGCATTGCTTGAGCTGGACACTTGCAGCACTTTCTCCGAGCCAAAACAGTACTGAACGACCAAGGCGTCACGACGCATCGGACAAGACCAACATGAAGGCACTTGTGCAAAAAAGGCCCACCCCCTTGAAAGCAGTTGCCGCACCTTCAGCACATGCCAGCGCCCAGGAGTCAGTGAGAGAAACTCCAAAGAGGTGGAACCCAGCACCTGCCCACCTCAGCTGCAATTTGGGAGTCACTCGTGTGGAAGTTTGCCATTCCAAAGCTTGTGCCGCCCTTTAGCTGCCAAAGCAAGGCCAGCAATGCACGCCGCTCCGCGTGCAAGGAGCGGTCGTGCTCGACAGGCAGGGACATCAGGGCCTTGTCCTCAGGACCTTGGGGCCCTGGCCCATATGGGACAACCGCACCTGCACAAACAAAGCCTGAGGCTTCGGTCTGAAGGCTGGCAGCCCTCCAAGCCAAAAGCATTTGAGCCTCCGGAGCCCGAGGCGCGCCACGCGTGACACACCTGAGTGAGAGGTGGGCCTGGCGGCGAGCCTGGAGGTCCCATCTTGCGGATCCCAGCGTGAGGATGCCCTGTGTCAAGACCCGGCCCAGCCCGAAAAGGCTGCAGCCGCCATCGCCGCCGTCTAGCTGAAGGATCAGCTGAGGCGGAATCCGGCGGGATAAGGCCCCAAGCATGAACTCAGAGATGAAGCCATGACCATCCAGCAGCTCAATAGCCTCCACCGCTGCAGTCACGGGCAAGAAGGAGGAGAAGGAGGCGCGCACTGGCTGGCAGCTGGCCAACAGTTGTGGCACGGAACTCTGCAGGCGAGCCAGCAAAGGCCTGGACTGCTTCGCGAATGCCGCTTCTCTTAGGCTCACAAGGTTTGGAGCCGGGCCCAACTTGTCCATGCTCTCAAGCAAGGACCAAGCGCTCTGCCAAAGCGATCTGCCAGCATACGATGCAAGTTCAATGTTGCACGTTATGAGGTTGCGCTGTAAGCGTCTTTGCTGCATCTCGTCCAGAAGCGCCAAAGCTGACACCAGGGAATGCTCGCTGCACGCGCTGCACGCGGCGCCGTAGGCTATGACATTGGGCTCCACCGTGCGGCTCTTGCAATCCTTCCACACTCCCAAGGACAGCTCCCAACGCTGGCTCTTCCCACAGGCACTGACTGCCGTGGAGCAGCTGATGGCGTCCAGTGCAGACTGCCCGGCCACCATGACGCTGTGCACGGACAGGACCAGATCCCAACGAAGTCGGTGCTCAAAAGCCTTGGCAACAGTATTCAAGGCGGTCGTCAGCTGATCTGCCCGTAGCAAGCCAACATGTTGGCGCAGCAGCTGCATTGCCTGAGCCCAAGAACGCCCATAGCTGCAGCAGGCGATCCCAGTGTTCACTGCCACGTCGCTGATCAAGGCCAGGTGCTGCCCCTGTGTGAGCAGCGCAAGCGCCGGCTGCCAGTGGGCGCGGCACGCGCTCACGGCCACACCCATGGCCTGGACATCTAGTTGCAAGCCGAAGACACCTTGGCCCATGACCCGTTGCATCCACAGCGCCTTGCGCCACTGCCCAGCGCGGTCGCACCGGGCCTGCAGTGCCCCGAAGGCCTGACAGCTCGGGCGGAGGCCGTCGCAGCAGCGCTGATCGAAGGAACGGATGGCCAGCACCCAGCCAGACAAAGTCGCACCCAGCGCGCTGGGATGCGGTGCTTGATGCATGGGCGATGGGATTCATTCCTATGCCGCGCTTGCCTCTTGGCTCCGTAGCCTGGACCGAATGAGTACTCCCCAAATGGTGGCGATTTGCCCTGAACCGGCTCGGAACGCTCTGCTCAATCTGTTCAGTTTGTTCTTTTCATGATATTTGCGGGGTGGTATCATTCGAGAGGGCTGGCCTTCCGGCCGGGAAATGGGTTGAGTTTCATGTTTCGGTCGGCATTGTTCCGCTCCCTCTATTGAGCAAATTTACCGCCGACCCCAACTCCAGTAGCACGAGGGGACATTTTAGAACCCAAGACTCAACCAATACTTGCATCAGTTCGTAACCAGCCGCAAATCCAACAAATGACCTAGATTTCTGCTGATTGAATTCCTTGCGCAGAACGCACTTACTTGTGGGGGAGGCAAGGGGACGGGCTTTAGGCTATGGGGACAGAGCCAAGAGCTGTGTTCAACACCTTGCTGACCATCGAGCCAAATGAGCTCAAATACGCTTTAGGCGGGTTTTTGGTGCTGGGCATTCTGGAGCAGAACATGCAACAAGTCCTGTACTCTGACAAGTATGCGCAAAGCACAGGACAGGGTTCCCTCGATTCGCCGGACTTCCCCAACACACGCCACGCACACCCACACACACGCCAACACAAAGGTAATATCATTCCAATTGGCCCAACTGGCGATGTTCACGCCACCTGAAAACCTAAACGAAGGCTATAAGCATGAAATAATAGTGGCACCTTTGTTTTATGTGTGCCTCTGAGCTAAGCTCAGCCTGGGCAGCCGAGCCTGTGAGCGAAAGCGCCTGCACTTCAAGCGAAGCTCTCCAGGTGAACGCCTAACCAAGGCCAGCAGAATTGAGAAGTAAAGATCAAGCTGAAACACAAAAAGGGAGCGACACAAACACACAGAGTGAGGAAGAAGGAAGAACAAGATGAAACTTGCACGGGCTGCGTTGCGATGATTGAGTTGTGGCTGCCGCCATCATTGCACGATTTCGGGGGGGAGGTTGGTCTCATGAGCTGTTCCGAGCTATAGCCCTACCCTTGGCCTTGGCAAAGGCGTGCGGAATGAAGAAAGTAAGTGGTTAACACGAACACGGTCTAACTGCAATCACTTCTCACTGTTGGATGGGCCACGCAGACTTTGAACCACCGCATCCGGATTTTGTATTAATTGTAATCTTCATCTTGAATTGAAGCTTCCAAAGCAAAGTCAACAAACCAGCCCTTACGTTTTCGAACCACAGACTGATTCACTATCTAGCCGCCTCTTGGTTGTAATGGGATTGCAGGACGAAAAACCTCACAAGCCCCCAATCAACCTTTCAACCAAGCAAGCTGGATAATGAAACAGCCTAATCCTGGCCGTCCCGTCGGCCGCCTCAAAGGTGAAGTGGTGCTCATCTAGCCACACAGCTTTGCCCGCTCGGATCCTTTGCCCCGAGGTCCTGGATCGATCCGAAGCGAAGGAGCAAATCCACCAGCCTTCCATCGCTTTGATCCTTCTTGCTTTTTACAACCGGACCCCTAACCCCCCGGCCAACCCCAAAATGTGCCAATAGTCATAAACTAGCCCTGATAAGGAGAACGATGCTAATTTTAACCTAGCTTGTTCGGGAGAAACGGATTAGCATCGTCGTCCCAATCCTCAGGCTCTTTGACTGAACCCGTCTCAAGGTCCTGTAAACTTGCCCCTCCACCCGCACGAGAAGCTGCACCTCTGTGCCATCCTGGCGGAAGCTAACTGATCGGCCAATCGGGCTAGTTGGATGGAAACTCGGGGCCAAAACTCCTGGAACAGTTAATTGTTGATGTTTTGTGAAATTGAACTTTTGGGAGTTTCTATGATGCCTTCCATACCTTTGGCAAGGTTTGATGTAATTCCTACATTCCTTCCTTCCGCCCTTCTTTCCTTCCCTTGCCAGCGTTGACCCAGCAAGCCTCCGCACCGGTGAACGCTTGCGGCACCAGCCTGTCGTTGCTTCATTTGACGCGCATGGGTCCCAAGCTCGACTGGACACGCTGGACACGCTGGGCTCCGCGCTCCAACTTCGCTACTGGGTTCGCATCCTCCGCATCCAAAGTGTCGGCCTGACGTGATCCCTCGCTGGAGCGATCGTCGTACTCTGGTTGGTTGTCGCTCAGCTGTCCACAAGCTCTGGTCTTAACTATAAATGATGGGCACACCTACAACAGGCGCAACTTTTTCTGAGTTGCGAAAGGCTTGCAAACAGCTTCGTGAGGAAGCCTGTTCTCAGCCTGCAACAAGCTAAGTACATGACACGATTCGTATCTTCTTTGCTTGCTTGGCGGCGGGCATGTCAATTAATGCCCACAGAAACTTGTCGTCCCCCATACCCGGCTGATCAGCTTTCGCCAAGCGGCGGAAAGAAACTGCTGAAAAAAAACTCGTCAAACATACACCAAGTCATCAGGGCCTTTCGCATCCACAGCTTGTGCTCGCCTCTTGCCCCGCCTCTTGCCCGACAGCAGCCATTCGCTCTACGTCCGAAGGTCGCCTGGCCATTCGCGTTGCACGTCTTGTGACTTGCGGCTCTTGGACGCCTTCGCAAGTCCCAAAGCGCCACGTGGTACCAGCGCAGGAGAACCTCCTAAGGCGCCCAAGCAAACGCGATGCGCTTGCAGCTTGCAAGGCGCAAACGGACACCTTCCTTCGATGCCCCCGGACTGAAATGTCGTGCACTCTGCACAATCGCATCTTCTTGCTCTTCTGGCAGTCTCTGTTGACAGAACGCGGTGGGTGTATGGCTTACAGAACGCTAGGTCACATGGGCGGGGAACACCATGTTGAAAACCGGCACATGGTGAGAACAAAGGGACACCAACCACCAGACGCGTGTCAAGCCCGGCTCCCGCAATAGGCTGTCGTTGGCGCAGGGTCCCAGCACCCGCTTGAGGCTCTTGATGGCTTCAGGCCTCAGCTGGCGAAATACTTTTCAGTCGGCCGTCCGCTTTGCATGCACTGTTTGGTTTTTCGCCGGTGAACAGGCTGAATGTGATACTCCAGCTTGCAGTCTTTGAAATATCAGTCGCTCCAGCTTGCAGTCTTTCAAACATCAGTCGCTCCAGCTTGCAGTCTTTCAAACATCAGTCGCTCCAGCTTGCAGTCTTTCAAACATCAGTCGCTCCAGCTTGCAGTCTTTCAAACATCAGTCGCTCCAGCTTGCAGTCTTTCAAACATCAGTCGCTCCAGCTTGCAGTCTTTCAAACATCAGTCGCTCCAGCTTGCGGTCTTTCAAACATCAGTCGCTCCAGCTTGCGGTCTTTCAAACATCAGTCGCTCCAGCTTGCAGTCTTTCAAACATCAGTCGCTCCAGCTTGCAGTCTTTCAAACATCAGTCGCTCCAGCTTGCAGTCTTTCAAACATCAGTCGCTCCAGCTTGCAGTCTTTCAAACATCAGTCGCTCCAGCTTGCAGTCTTTCAAACATCAGTCGCTCCAGCTTGCAGTCTTTCAAACATCAGTCGCTCCAGCTTGCAGTCTTTCAAACATCAGTCGCTCCAGCTTGCAGTCTTTCAAACATCAGTCGCTCCAGCTTGCAGTCTTTCAAACATCAGTCGCTCCAGCTTGCAGTCTTTCAAACATCAGTCGCTCCAGCTTGCAGTCTTTCAAACATCAGTCGCTCCAGCTTGCAGTCTTTCAAACATCAGTCGCTCCAGCTTGCAGTCTTTCAAACATCAGTCGCTCCAGCTTGCAGTCTTTCAAACATCAGTCGCTCCAGCTTGCAGTCTTTCAAACATCAGTCGCTCCAGCTTGCAGTCTTTCAAACATCAGTCGCTCCAGCTTGCAGTCTTTCAAACATCAGTCGCTCCAGCTTGCAGTCTTTCAAACATCAGTCGCTCCAGCTTGCAGTCTTTCAAACATCAGTCGCTCCAGCTTGCAGCCTTTCAAACATCAGTCGCTCCAGCTTGCAGTCTTTCAAACATCAGTCGCTCCAGCTTGCAGTCTTTCAACCATCAGTCGCTCCAGCTTGCAGTCTTTCAAACATCAGTCGCTCCAGCTTGCAGTCTTTCAAACATCAGTCGCTCCAGCTTGCAGTCTTTCAAACATCAGTCGCTCCAGCTTGCAGTCTTTCAAACATCAGTCGCTCCAGTCTTTCAAACATCAGTGCAGTCTTTCAAACATCAGTCGCTCCAGCTTGCAGTCTTTCAAACATCAGTCGCTCCAGCTTGCAGTCTTTCAAACATCAGTCGCTCCAGCTTGCAGTCTTTCAAACATCAGTCGCTCCAGCTTGCAGTCTTTCAAACATCAGTCGCTCCAGCTTGCAGTCTTTCAAACATCAGTCGCTCCAGCTTGCAGTCTTTCAAACATCAGTCGCTCCAGCTTGCAGTCTTTCAAACATCAGTCGCTCCAGCTTGCAGTCTTTCAAAATCATCAGTCAGCTCCAGCTTGCAGTCTTTCAAACATCAGTCGCTCCAGCTTGCAGCCTTTCAAACATCAGTCGCTCCAGCTTGCAGTCTTTCAAACATCAGTCGCTCCAGCTTGCAGTCTTTCAAACATCAGTCGCTCCAGCTTGCAGTCTTTCAAACATCAGTCGCTCCAGCTTGCAGCCTTTCAAACATCAGTCGCTCCAGCTTGCAGTCTTTCAAACATCAGTCGCTCCAGCTTGCAGTCTTTCAAACATCAGTCGCTCCAGCTTGCAGCCTTTCAAACATCCTTTGTCCATGTTTGACATGGCACATTGGAGCTCAGCGTCCTATCATGAAAGCAAGGCAAAGCATCAATTATCTCTGGCGCTATGCCAATGACCTTGATGGCAACACGAGGCGCCACCCCCATGTTGAGTACTTTGCCCCGATTTTCACGCAAGATCACGGGTATGGCTCGTGGCTTGTGAAGCACCATGGGCTTCCGGGCCAAAGATCCGCGTGCTGCGCTTGCAGCCGGAGGAGGCTCACCTGTTGCCTCTTCTGCTCCAGCGACGCCTAAAGCAAAGCGAGCCCAAGCTGGGAATGCTGAGGGTGCACTGGCCGGGCAAACCTGAAAGGAACAACAAAACGGAACGATATCTCAGTTGCGCATGCTTACTCTTCTCAAAACAATAAACTTCATTACACTTACATGATCTTGGGCTCATTTCCTCGAACATGTCCGTTTGTTTCCCGGCTTCGGCATTGGCCTTGCCACATGCATCGGGCCACTCAGTTCTGCAGCTTCCCTCCACCGATTTTGCGACTATCCTGGCTTTCCTGCACAAACCTCACTACAGCCCCCCAAATCTTGTGGCATCTGAGGCAAAGGAAGCCATTTTGGAACGTAGCATCAAAAACCCACTAAGAAGCTTTGATTCCGCACCCATCCAACATACACAAGCATGGGCCCCAGATAGCGAACAAAAATGGCGGATGATTGCACACCAGCACCTCTAACAGCACCCCCCGACGAGCGCAGCAAACAGCACCCCCCAGAGCACGGGGGAAAAATCTCGCAAATATTGCGCCAGCACCTGCACCAGCACCCAAATCTGCATGCCCCCAAGCACCCTCCATCAATCTTGCAAAAACGCCACCCCAAAGCAGCACCTCCGCCAGCACCCCAAACTGCATGCCTAGCACCCTGCCGTCAATCTCGCAAAAACACGAGCACCCTCCCCGCACCCTGCCGTCAATCTCTTAAAAAAGCGCCCGCACTGTCACCAGACTCCCGAAACAGCACCTGCACCAGCATCCCAAACTGCCTGCCCTATGGTCAATCTGGCAAAACTGCGCCCGCACCGTCACCTGCACCACAAACAGCTCCCGAAACAGCATCTCCAACTGCACGCCCCTAGCACTCCGCCGTCAATCTTGCAAATCACTTTCCCCTCTTTATTAGAAGTTTGAACCCCAGCTTTCAATACCTGGGACTCAATCGACTCCCCGCCTCGGTCATCTTCAGTGGCGCTGCCGCATCCCCTTCCCCCTGCAAAATGTCCTTGGCCCATTGGCGCACTAGTGATATCACTGGGAGGTGCCACAACATTGAGCATTGCGTCTAAAACATGTCCAAGCTGAGCTTGAACCAAGCTTGCAGTCATGAGAGCTATGAGGGCATAGTTGCTCAGAAATTTATTGAATCCCGCGGCGAGCAACTGCAGTCACATCCGTATGTGCGTGGCACGACCATATTCTGCAATGGCTTCCATTGAAACAAGCACCACCGCTGGCCCAAGCACAGGCATCCAAGCAGCCTGCTTTGTTTTCGCGCGTTGCTGCAACTTGCTTGACAAAATGAATGTTCATTTCAGGTTTGGTCGCTCTAAAGCGACAGGTATCAAGACCTGGAACTCGCGCCCAATTGATGTCACCAATGCATCTGCTCGCGACCCAGGCATACGAAGGCAAAGCAATTTGGGCTGGGTACAATGGCGCGCAATCGTGGGCCAAAGAAACACACACGAACAGGACGATTCAAACGTGTCTTCGAAGGTGATACATGAGGCTAAGTCAGCAACATGGAGTGTCGGCCTCAAGTTTAGCCAGTGAATGGGTTGGCATCTGCTGCAGTTCGACAATGGAAGTCGGGTTCATCAACTGCATGGGCGTAATAGGATCCAATGCGGAACAGTGGTGCCTGATGCCGAGGGAAGCTGCCAAGTTGAACCTTCTCTTATGCGGATTCCGCCATTCTGCGGGACGGATGCCCACATTCGGCCTGTTCAAGGTTGCCCCAACCTGGGAATCGGACACGGCGCATCCGCCGCCACCTCTGCGCCTCGTGCTCTGAATGGCGAGCGCTAGCAGCCGCCTGGCGCAACAAGGGGCACCTACACGCGGAAAAGCATGAATTCTTCGTGTCTGCATGTTTCTGTGACTGGTGAAAACCGATGCGGAGGCCAACAGAGGCGTTGACCCCACAAGCAGAAACCTGGGAAAGGGGTCCCAGGCCTATGACTTTTGGACTTTGGACCCGAAGGCCATGGCTGCTCCCTCACTGTCCGATGCCTCAATGTCTCCAGGGGAGTGGATTGCAGCATGTGCGTTTGATATGCACCCTTTGTCCAACAATCATGGAAGTGGCCAAAAGGCCTTGAAAGACGGCTATCCTCTTGAAAAGGCCCCTTGGCCACTTCCACGATTATTGGAAAAGGGTTGTTGTTTTTCAATGTGCTTGGGAAGCGGGTTGGGCAGGGAATTTGGCTGGGGAATTGGCCAGCAGCCCAAACATGAACAGCGACATCTTTGCCAGCAGGACTGGCAAAAAGATCTCAACATCGTTTGATCATCTTCCGATGGCCCCCACCAAACAAACGATTGCAGCACGTGCAAGTTTCCCCAGCCTCCTGCAGGCGCTTGCTTGCAGCCTGACCTCAGCGCTCAGCGTCATTGAAAATGCAAACAGCGGTCAGTATAGACAAAAGCCTAGGGCGACAGGCTGTTTTCTCCTCACACTGGCCGGAGGGCCTCCAAGCCCGACCTGTCTGAGCTATCAGAATCAAGCCCACACATGCAGTTGCCCGCAGTGCAGACACTTTGGAAACCTCAGGCAGCCCGCCGGGACAACACGTTGCGTGCCAGTCATCCGGCGGGATGCCTGGAAACAGCCAGGGCCTAGGCAGAAAAACTATCAAGGTCGCATCCAAAGCAACGTTGGGCCTAAAAAGCTCGTGAATGCTATGGCAAACCAGCATCGCCTGGTGTCGTTGCCTGTGGCAATGTATCCAGGCTTGACAGGAAAATTCAAACATCGCCCTCCCTCAAAGCAGCAGTGACCCTCCCTCTTAACATGGAACCTGCAGAAGCCACTTCACAAAACCATGCCTTCCAATACAAACGCTTTGATGTTGGTGGGTGGGAGGGTTGCCCGGCAAGCACATCTCAACTCAAAAGTTTGACTCTGCCTTTGAAGCTGCGACTTGCATGACTGCCGCCAAACCAGCACAGTACGGTCACAACATGTGACAACGGACGTCTAGTGTCACACGTCGTGCTTCCAAACATTCCGAAAACCACTTCAGGCGGACATGTGACGAGTGAAAAGCCAGAAGGCTCGTCATGAGGCCACTTGCTGCTCAGCGGGGCACCGTCAGCAAAACCTTCTTGTCCCAGCTATCCATCTGGGAGCTTGGCGAAGTGGCACCTGGCCGAACAAAACAAAGCTTCCGAGCCAGAGGTGCAAACCACCCTTGCGAGGAACGAAGTCCAGCTCAAGAAAATGACCACGGATTGGCACAGTAGGACATATTCTGCCAGGAGGGTCTTGTTTCCCGGCTACTGCTCGACAACACGACCATGGCCTGCAAACGAACCATTGCAAGCAAGGGCAGGCAGGCAGGCAGGCAAGCAGGCAAGCAGTGAAGCAAGCAAGCACGCAGGCAAGCACGCAAGCAAGCACGCAGACAAGCCACCGAACGAGCGAACAAACAAGACAAACAAACAGTACAGAAACAGCAAATTCCAGCATCTGGCAAGATAAGTTCAGTCAGAATATCTATTGCTCTGCACCCACCAGCAACCGGGACGAGAGGCAGCTGTCCTTGAATATTGATGTAGGCCTACTCAGATCAAAGCAACTGTGTCTGGCTGTTACATCAAATGTTGTTGGAACCGTCGCAGTTGCTAGGAACTTGACATGTATGTCAAAGGCAACCAATCACATTTTTTCTCCCTTTCTCATTTCTCGGGCCGCCGCCGCTATGCAAAGCTCTCCCGCCGTGGTCGCTGTCTCCTCTGCCTCAAGATTTGAAGGCGACAATCCCAACCCCCCCTCCTCCGGTTCGTGGTTTGCAGCCTTTTTGGGCCCTCCACAATTCCCCGCCGCCGAGCCTCGGGCTATAAGAAGATGACATCTCTCACTAAACAAGGAAACCCCATGGGAAAACAGTGACGCAACTCCATCAAGAGCCGTCGGCACCTGCAGCAATAGCGGCTTGGGGCTTGGAAGCCTTCTATTTCGGTTTTTGTGCAGTGTTTTCAGCGCGTCGATCCGGAACAGAACAACGGCACGCAGGCAACTGAGATGCCTTCGAGACCGGTGCCCAAAAAATGCGCGAACTGCACATAGGCGTAAGCCCGCGGCTGTGCGAATGCGTCGCCGGCATGGAGATGTGGGATGGGCCGACGTAGTGCGGCCTGAAGTCGAATGAAGAACGGTCTCTTTCAGACCCCCAATCTGTGAGACCCCAAGTGGGCCAGTGGGTCATTGTGTTGGTAAGCGAGAAGGTGGCCATGCGGAGGAAACGAACCAAGGTTGCCACACATGAAGGCGCAGGAAGCCTCAGATGCTGCCATTCGACGAATGCACGGTGGCAACGATGGGCAGCTTTGGCCATTCGAACGTGCGAGCATGTCAGCATGTCAAAACGCGAAGGAAAACAACATCATAACGCACCCGCTGGAATGATATCACATTGCTCCGATGGCTGGACAAGGAGCAATTCTCATCGCTGGCGCCCAGCGCCCTTTCCCGCTCATCCGCCAAAACCGCTGAAGCCTTGATGTTCTGCTGGTCGCCTTGGTGAGGGAGAGGCTGAGAGATGCTGACTCTAGCCGGGGCCTCACGGGGACCTCGAACGCCAATCAGCTCGCCAGCATGTAATGTGTAAAGCAGGGTCGTGTGCCAACCGGTCCGGTCAGAAATTCGCAAACCACCCAGGCAATCCACCCAGCGAACATTCAAGCTTTCCATATTTGGATGAATCATTCCGAGTTTCAATTGACACCCGAGCGTGCTCAGTGCTCAGAGCTCAAAGACAACAGTTGGTGATTACAAAATCACTTTTACCGGCTGTTGTGAAGGGTCTCTTTACGCACAACCCCTGTCAGGTCAGATATCAATTTCCCCAGTATCTCGTTCGAACTGCGCCATTCTCACTTCAGAAGCCCCATGACCGAACAAAACATGAGAGGGACAGGAGGCAGGAGGCACGACTTCCACAATCTTCATCAATCTTCCACATGAGGCTTGAATGACTGCTAGAGTGAGCATAGTGGCAGTCTTCCCGTATCAATTGGACGTGAAATGCTTGACATGCTTGAAATGCTTGAAAAAGCTTCAAAACCGATGGGGGACTGTGCAAAACGATCGAGTCCTTTGGACCTCCCGTGGTTGCCTGCTGAGACGTAGGACGGAAGGGAATCACCGGCAAGTCAATCATCATTCTCTCATCGCCTTCTCTTTCCCCATCATACCCTCTCCCTTCCATGCCAAACAAATCTCAGGATTCTAGACCTTGCGTACGAAGCGAGCTGTCCCTGCGTTCCACCTCTATCGCCGGCCATCAGAAGAAAGAGGCCGGGAATACCGGCAAGGTCTCGGAGAGCAAAACGCCGGTGAAGAGAGCACTCATTCCTTTCTCCTCTTCAAACGGTGTGCCCTGTCTGCTTCTTTCGTGAGTGATGGTGAGCAGCCAGGGACGGGAGATCGTGAACGAAGGGCACATTCCCTCTCACCCACCGCTCACTTCCTCGCTCTCACCCTTTCCTTTCCTTTCCTTTTGCCTTCTCCTTACCCCGTCCCACGGCTAGAAATCAGCCACCATGTGGGAATGAATGTCCCCTGTTTTTTCTGAGTGAGTTGGTGAGCCTCCTTCTGCCCTTCTAAGTTGGCCATCATAAATTTGACCCGGCCCTTGAGCTCAAAGCGTGCGATTTCTGTCACTGGAGGCTGCTCCCCTTCAACGAACGGCTGCCGAGCTGCCTTTCAGGCCATCAATGGAGACCGGCCGAGTCAGGCTCTTCTGCGCCAGATTGGGCTGGGACACCACTCCTTATGACGCAACGATCCAGTCAGTCAAAGAACCATTCTCGTCATACTACCCACAGCCCCTGTTGCCAACACCCCCCACCCCCCATGCCACGTCACATGCCTACCACCGCCCCTTTGGTTCCAGGTTTGGTAGCTTTAGGGTTCTAGCTGTAAGAAAAAGGGACTTGGCTTTAGCTTTGGATCTAGATTTAAAATTCAGGTTTCGTGATTGGTTATCTTGGTTTTAGGGTTTAGGTGTAGGAATCCGGTAAAGGCATGAGGGGCTGGCCGTAATTTTATGGTATGGACTTTAATGCCCCTGCCAAGTCTCAGCTCCACCCAACTGGCAACAAACGCAACTTGTAGACAACCAGCCGGAAAGCCACAGCCAACGTCGCTCGTCCCAAGACTAACGATTGAGCCGAAGCTTCGCTTCATCATGCCGCCGTCCGGTTTACTCTCTGTCGCCTGGCCACTAACTCTTCAGCGGTGCATCTTTCAGGGGCGCTCCAGAACCCAATTGTGGCAAATGCACAGGCCTTTGGGACATAGCTGATGCCAACGATGCAAAACGAGGCAAACATGTCCAGATTCATGAGAGCTTGGGGCCACTGTGCCAGGCAAGCAAGCCATATCAAAGGAAACTCGTTTTGGAACTGGGTGTGGGTCAAAAATAGGTACCCAAAATGGAAGCCTGATGCATGGCAATAAGGACTAAATCAGGCGGCCCCTTAGTGGTTTCATTTTGACCCATAGCCAATTTGCGGCAGAAGAAAACAAGACTACACAAATGCCAACGGGTGAGCCTGCCGCACACGCAAGCGCACCCAGTGGAGAAAACCGGTTAGGCCAAACCATGACGTGATGGATACTCATATATGACTGTGGGTCAAAACCGTTTTGGTACCATTTTGAGGTAGGTGAATTCACCATCCATTTTAGAACCTATTTTAGTGGGGATTGGGATCTTCACTGGGGGCTAACCCGGATTTTGACCCATGGCTATATCTTTGGCATCCCCACTAAAATAGACTAAAATTGGTGGTGCACCTACCCCAAAATGGGATCCCATTGGTTTTGACCCACAGCCATTTGACCGTTATCTCGTTTGCAAATCCGACATCGGGCACTGGTTTTCAAGCACTCACCTTGTGGGCTCGCTCACTGGTGAACGGGCTTCTTGAGCTCAAGTTGCGCGAGTCTGCAGGGGTGCGGACCAGCCTTAGAGACAGCCAAACGCCGTATAGGAGTAAGGCTCGAATCTTGGTTGCTCCAACCCAGTAGCAGTCAAGGAATGAGGCTCATGCGGGCCCCATTTTCCTACCATCAAAGTCACCCCCCAAGTCATTACCGAATAAACTTTGGAGGGCTTGGGCTCAAGGCCGCTGAACAAACCGCCATTGGCCAGGCCAGCCTATGCAGCCACGGCGCACTGCCCTACAGCTGTTTCATGAGCCTGCGTTCTAATTACGAGGGCTCATCACTTCGACCATTTCTGGGGGAGATATCAAAGTCAAAAACTGTCCCTTTAACCTACCAGTTAGTGGCCATGGGAACTTTCAAGCAAGCCTTCGAAACCACACAGCCACAGCCATTTCCAAAAATATGCCGTATATATATAT